ACCACACTCCCCCTGACACAGGATCTCTCACCGAGCCTAGAATTTGGCTGGCAGCCAGTAAGCCCCAGCAACTCCTGTCTACCCTCCATATAGCGCTGAAGTCACAGGCACCCTCAGCTTTTTGAAGGCACTGGGGATTTGAACTTGAGTCCTCATGCTTGCACAGAACATGCTCTTACTCATTGAGCCATCTCCTGCCCTACAGCCATATTTTTAAGAGAGAAAAAAATGTAAGACTTTAGAAGACAGCACATGGTACGTTTGTGTTTGAACATCTCTACGTGTGTGACATACAGCGTTGGTGTCAGGAAGCACACATGGCCAGGTGCAGTTTCTACAGAGGACAGCTCAGTAGCTGGGGCACAGGGTTAGGAGATTTCACAATTTCATTCTCTACGTTCTTGGAGAATTTAGTATTTCAATTCTGTGTTCTATAAGAACTTTTAAAGGATGCATTGAATTTTTTTCAGTGATTGTACTCTGGAGTTTGGGGCCCTCGTCGGTACTGAGTGAAGTTCATGATCCATGGAACATGGTCTCTGACTTGTGGGGCTTCTGTTGGGAAGTGGGGAAACCTTTCTGTTCAGTCTGTCTCACGTATATTCTAGAAACAGGGCAGGCGGGGCTTGGGCAGTGCTTTCATCTGTAAAGTGCTTGCCTGGCAAGCATGAGGACCAGGGCTCAGGTCCCTGGAACTCACGTAAAAAGCTCGGTGTGGTGACAAGCACTGTCGTCAGCACTGGGGAGGCAGAGATAGGCAGTCCCCAGGGCTCATGCCAGCTAGTCCAACTAACAGTGAGTTCTAGGGTCAGTGAAGAACCTTGTCTTGGGGTTTCTAGTGCTGTGAAGAGACACCATGACCACAGCCATTCTCAGTCCATTGTCATCATGGTGGGTCAGTGCAGGCAGACATGGTGCTGGCGAGGAAGTGAACTGAGCACAAGCCCGCTCCCACGGTGACACACTTCCTCCAGCAAGGCAGCACCCACTCCAGCAAAGCCACACCTCCTGATAGTGCCTCTCCCATTTGGGGGCTATTTTCTTTCAAACTACCAGAGACCCTGTTGTAAAAAATACAATGGAGTGGAGATTGAGCAAGCCACCCAGCACTGACTCCTGGCCTCCATAACACACGTACCCATGCACTCATATGCACACACATACGTGGAACTAGAATAGACTACTAAACAGCTGAATTCTGATTGGCTGTGGGACTGTGTGCCCCATCTGCAGAAACTTCCAGGTGTTAGTCAGGGGAGATATCACTGGAGAACACAATTCACCACCTCTCCAAATCACTTAGAATTACTCCAGCAAATGAGACACAGGCTGAAATCCCTGTCAGCTTGGGCATGGTTTTTAGATACGTGCCCTTGGGGCCACTTAAGGCTACCGTTGCTTCTCTCAGATGTCACATTGTCAAGAATGTGTCCTCAGTTACATCTCTGATGAGCCACATGCCCTGGGCCTGCATTTTTGCAATTCTTCGCAGGTTCTTGCAACATAGTGACAGCAGACATAGAGGGTGCACTCAGTACTGAGGGTCTGGATGGGCCATCGTGCATCCTCCTTAACACTAGGAAAAGGGGGTAGCTACATCCCCCGCTGTAGCTACAAGGTAACTGAAGCTTGGAGAAGTTTTCAGTGCTGAGTGCACAAAGCTGGGCACCCAGGGAAGTCGTGTTAGAACCTCAGCTTGTTCCCAAAGTGATGGAGGAAGGACATTGGTTAATTATAATAAAGAAACTGCCTGGGCCCTCATAGGACAGAAAATTAGGTAGGCGGAGTAGACAGAAGAGAATGCTGGGAAATAGAAGCTGAGTGAGAGAGTCGCCATGATTCTCCCGCTCCAGACAGACGCAGGTTAAGATCCTCCCTTACACAGAATATTAGAAATGGGTTAGAACAATATGTAAGAGCTATCCAATAAGAATCTGGAACTAGCCGGGCCAGGCAGTGTTTGAAAGAATACAGTTTCCTTGTAATTATTTCTGGGCATAAGCTAGCCATGTGGGCGGCCGGGTGCCGGGGACGCAGCCCTGCCGCTCTTATTTCAACAGATGACAAGCTCAGTCGGTAGAGCATGAGACTCTTAATCTCAGGGTCGTGGGTTCGAGCCCCACGTTGGGCGCCATCACTGGGATTACATGGCACGGGGTTCCAAACTCAGGCCCTCGTGCTTGCAGGGTGAACACTTTGCTGACTGAACTGTTTCTCAGCTCCTCCAAGTATGACTCTTAGGTCTTCAGGACATCTTGGCCAAGTGTGCTGACCAAGTGGGGATTCTTTCTCTCTAGACGAATGAGCTGGTGCTGGGTTTGGAGGACGACGACACACTCCTACTGAAAGAAGACAGAACGCTGAAGGACTCGGGGATAGGTGAGATGGGCTGGGGTGGAGGGAGGGGCACTGGGTTTCCTGGCCTGTGTGTGACAGTGATAGAATCTGGAAAATCCTCCCAAAGCACCCCCCCCTGTGCTGAGAGAGCTGCGCTCTGACCGTTTGACCGAGGCGAGGGCACCGCAATTCGTCTGCATGTGTGCAGAACGCAATGGTTCTTTTCAGGCTCGCTCTGAACTCTGGTGAGGGTCATTTTAAATGATTGGCAGCCTATTAGTTCAGTAACTGCCGACTGTCATCAGCGCTGTTGGAGAGAAATGGACCTGGTGGAACTAATGTAGAATAATGAAATGAGATGTTGTTTGTACAACGCGCAGTGTAACTTCTGACACTCACTCAAGACTCTCAGTGCGCAAGCCTTGGAATTTAGACTATAAGCCTGGTGTGTACAGTGGGGAAATTACCTGGTTTAGCCTTTCCACCTAGAATGTGCTTTCAGTTCTACTTGAGAGAAGTGCTGTGTGGCCCATCTCCTGGCCATTAGGTGTCAGTGTTCTTCTACTTACGCCTTCAGTATGTGCATGAGTAGGGGCAGGAGTTCTGAGCAGAAGGCACCTGCTGCCTGTGACACCTCTGTGGTGAGAGAGCAGGATAGCGTCCCGGTGCCCACTTCCTCCAGAAGTCCCCAGGTACAGTGGGTAAGAGGCTTGGGCAGTGAGGGCCACACTGGGAAGCCGTACGGTTTCATTGTTGTTGTTTTGGACAGCAGTTTCTGTTAAGTCACTTCCACCACATGGCAGGAATTCACCTTCAAGGATTCACGTGGTTTATGTGAATTTATGCAGTGGTCTTTCCCTTGGAATAGGATTTAAAATAATAGGTCAAAGGGCTGGGGAGATTGCTCAGTAGGTAGGCGAGCTTGCTGTGCAAGCGTAAGAACCTGAATTTGATTCCCAAGACCCCTGTAAAAAAAACTGAGTGTGGTCATATATGTACCCGTAACCACAGCAGAGAGGGAGACAGAGTTAGGAAGGTCTCTAGGGCTTGCTGGCTGCCAGCTTAGATAGGTTTTGTGAGAGACGCTGCCTCAAGGGAATAAGATGGTAATCAGGACTTCTGATGTCGTCTTTTGGCCTCTGCACACACAGACTCTGCATCTGTGAAGACTTGTATACGCCCAAATACATGCGCACACACGCACATAAATAAATGGCAGGTTATGAAATCATAAATCTGATCTCTGTGTTAAGTCTACACAATTTGCAACAATTAGCACCTGTTCATATTATGAATACAGTAGATTTCTTGTTACTTGAGATTCAAAAACATTTTTCTGTCCCTGTGAATTGTGCACAGGAATTGTATTCTCTGATACTTATATTATTTTCTGTAACTTCATCCATGATCAAGTTCCTTGGAAGTAAAATCAGATTTGGGACAATTACAATGACCTCTTTCTGGGTATGGTGGTGCGTGCCTTTAATCCTGGCACAGGGAGGCTGAGGCTGGGGGCCGTGCATTTCAGGGCATCCTGGGTTACATAGCAAGTTCCAGACCAATCTGGACTATCTGCTGAGAGCCTGCCTGTAAATGAATAAGTAATAAATTAATGGTTTTTGCTATTTGGAAAAAAGTCGTCCTTCAAATAGGTATTGAATGTTTATGTTATGTCAGTGAGAAATGATTTTTTTAACTTGACGCTTGGTGTGTCAAATGCTGCTTTTATAGCAGGTGGCACTTGTCTGATTGAGCCTTCTAGAACGCGAGGAAGCCTGGCTGGCTTTGAAAGCCTACACTGAAATGAACATTACAGACTGGTGTTGAGGTGGGACCGGACAGGTAACTCAGTAAAACAGTGTAAAATCCAGTGCAAACTATAACAAGACTATGAGGTGATAAAGTTGGCGTCTCGCAATAAACAGGGAAGAAATGAATTAGCCAAAAACTATGTGAGTTTCTAGGAAACAAATTTCAAGTCTCTAACTCTCTCTCTATTTAACAAAAAATTCGAGATGAATTGTTACAATATAAATGTAAAATTAAAGTATTTTGACTTTCTGGGTGTGGTGACACACGCCTTTAATTCAAACACTTGGGAGACAGAGGCAGGTGGATCTCTGTGAGTTGGTGACCAGCCTAGACTGGTCTACAGAGTGAGTTTCAGGATAGCCAGAGCTACATAGTGAGACCCTGTCTCGAAAAGACTTTTATACTTATTTTTGTATGCATCTTTGTATGATGTGTGGGGCCTGATGACATGCATGTGGTGAGCACATGGAGGTCAGAGGACAACATGTGAAAGTTGGTTCTCCGCTCCCATCATGTGGGTCCCAAGGAGTGGAACTTAGGACTTCAAGTGTCTTCACCAGTTAAGCCGTCTTGTCATCTAAGAAAAACATTAGTTCACGACCTTACAGGAGAGGCTGCAGAGGGGAAGAGGATGCCATGACCCTAAGAATAAAGAGCAAAGGGACTGTGCCAGCTACTTTTGTGTCAACTTGACACACAGTTAAAGTCATTCTGGGAAGCCAGAGCCTCAAATGAGAAAGCACCGTCAGCAGGCTGGTCTGTGGGCAAGCTTGAGATGCATTTTCTTACTGATAGCTGATGTGGGAGGCCCAGCTCAGTGTGAATGGTGTCACCCTTGATTGCTGGTCCTGGGTGCAGAGAAAGCAGACAGAGCAAGCCAGTAGGCAGCACGCCTCCTAGTGTCTGCTTTGGTCACAGTCTTCATCACAGCAGTATAAGCCCTAAATGAGACACAGCCCTAAATGTAAAGGGGCAAAGCATGCGTACGTGTGGTAGGTGTGTTACACGACACACGAAAGGCTGCTACCTGCCTGAAGAGATCTTCAGGACTCGGAGAGGTGATGGGTAAAGTGTTTGTTGGGTAAAAACCCGAGCTTAGTCCCTAGCACACTTTAAAATAGGAAGGAAGGGCGAGAGAAAGGGAAGGAGGGAGGGAAGGAGGGAGGAAGGTTGGAGGAAGGGAGGGAGGGAAGACAGAAAACAAAAAAACCAGCAAACTATGGTAGCCCCACTTCTTATCTCAGTGCTGGGGAGGTGGACACAGGAGGATCCCTAGGGCTCACTGGCCTGACAGACAGGTTCAGTGAGATCCTGTCTCTTGCACCCATGTTGGGCTTACCACTTCCTGTAACTCAAGCTCTTATACCTTCTTCATACTTCCATGATCACTGAGCATGTGCACGTATGCACAATTGAAATAATTAATTTAATTTAAAGATAAAAACAAGGTGGAAAACAACCGAGGAAGATTTCTTACATCAAATTCTGTATATACACATACAACATAGACATACATGCTAACAACTTTGTAGTTAGTACAGAAAAGATAGATGAAAACCTATACAGATTGAAGGAACAGTTAGCATGTCAAAAGATACTTCTATGCTATTGTTAGGGCAACAAATGCATGCTGCAGTAGATGCTGCATGCGCAGCAGAGCCAAGAATCTAGAGTTACACCCTGGCCCCAAGACTGGGGCTCAGAACCTGTTTCTGTCCAGTGTGTCCATCTGGGTGACCTTGAACAAGCAGCAATTGTTACAAGATTGGCAGTCATAAATAAAACTGGCGAGCCTCGGAGAGGTTACAGTGTGGGAAAGGACTTTCTCGTGCTCATCTGCCAAGAGCACACACTTCCCAGGCTCTGCAGTCAGGGACCACTTTCTGGCCGATCTTCCGAGTCTCCAGGAGCGGGCCTGCTCAGGTTCCCCTTCTGAAGGGCAGTAGGGTTCCCTCTCGTGTTCCCGTCTGAATCGCTGATGTGGGTGTTTATCCCACGGATGAAGGATATGTTGTGTGATGTCATCATCATGTAAACCCTGCGTGTGGAGCTGGAGAGATGGCTCAGCAGTTGTGTGCACTGACGCTCTTCCAGAAGACAAACCTGCATCCTTGCCCTCACACGGGGTGCTCACAGCTGCCTGTAACTCCAGCTGCAGTCTTTCTGGCCACACACACCCACACATGTACATACTCACTCAGACACACATGCACACATACATAGACATATTAAATATTTTTAAATAATAAAAGGGACATAGTTCATGTTCGTAGATATATATGGAGGAGGAATCACACACTAGCCAGCCAGTGAGTCCTGGAAACCTGCCTGTGTCCAGTCTCTGAGTGTGGGGCTTACAAGTGTGTGCACTACATCTGGCCTTTTTAAAAATGTGAACTTTGGTGGGACTGTGGTGAGGCACGCCTTAATCCCAGCCCAGGAGTCAGAGGCGGATGGATCTCTGTGAGTTTAAGGCCAGCCTGGTCTACATAGTGAGTTCCAAGATAGGCTCCAAAGCTGCACAGAGAAACCCTGTCCGAACCCCCCCACCCTCCCCCTCCCCACAAAACAAAGTGGATTTTGAGGATGGCGCCCAGGTCCTGATGCTGGCAAGGCAAGTACTTTATCATTCTTGTTTTAAGGCTTCGATCAGACTTTGATTCAAACTGGGTCATTTTTGCTGGGTCACCTCTGGGCTTGGAGTGGTCTAGGGATCCCCAAAATGCCCTCTCGACCTGACAAGGCAGCATGTGGGTCCTTCCTAGAAACAATTTCCTCTGCCTCCTAGAGCTGTGTTCTGTCCTCTGGAGAGCAGGCCTTGATTATATCTGGGGGAGGACACAAGGTCCCCCGAGAGCAGCAAGGAATTACAAGTGGGAATCAAGTTGTCAAGTGTGATATTTCTAGGGAATTTTCCTTCCCACCTGCATCTGCTTAGGCTTCGGGGAGGTTTAAGAGGAAACTCAAAGTCAGCACTCGCTCCCCCTTCACTCCTTGATCTCACTAAAGAGCTGTCAGTCTGCTATCACAGCCAGTTGCCATGGGAATAATGCCAGTGTGATAAATGTGTCATCCTGACTTTCTGCAGGAGTTGGAAAAGAAAGCCCAGGAGGGGAACTGAGAAAAGAGAGCAAGACTCCGTTCCTCTGTAGACTTTCTGCTTTATTGGGACCCCACAGTATATTCCTCACAGTAGTATACAGTATATACCACACAGTATACCCACACAG